ATTAACTTAGAATACTAAATAACCATTTTCCCCCCAATATGATAAATGGACACTACTCACATTATAAGTAATTAGGTTATGTAGTAGCATATTACTGTTTGAAATGTTTAATAATGTAAACAAATTAGTAGGCACTAGGCAGTAATATGACGCTTTTCCACTGCTGTTACGGCAAAGTACGGCCCGACTCGGCGCGGCATGGTTCGGCTCGCTTTGTTTTTCCACTGCGGGGTATGACTCGGCATGGCTAAGCTCGGTTTGCTTTTCCACTGCAGTTAGTACCGCTTCAAAGTGGGTAGGATTATAGTCTGACCGTTATAGTTTATCCGCTCCTCGGCAACCAACGAGAGGAACGACTGCACTTCGTCCACTGACCATGGCGATTCAACCATTTCTTTTTTGGAAGTTTTCTTTCTTTCTTTTTTCTTCAAGCAAGTCAATCAAGTAGTTTTTAAAACAGGTGCTACAGCAGTGGCTGTTACTGGCTATTTAAATCTAGCGGATTTGATGTCTCGCAAATACAATGACGCTGGTAGTGCCGATTCTGTCTGATCTGAGTATCGGTACGGTATGCTTGAAACCTCATCAGAGGTGGTACCATTTAAAGCGAGCCAATGCGAGTGGAAAAGCGCCACAAGTGAGCCGTACCGAGCCGAGCCGTACCATACCATACCATGCAGTGGAAAAGCGCCAATACAGTATATTTTCCGCTAGTTTTCTGTTCCAAACGTAATAACAGATCTTCTGCAATCTGCCATCTTTTTAGCCTGAAATGTGAACATAAGTATTATGAACATGGTAATGTAAAATTATTTTCATTCTCACTATGGGCCAGATTTACTAAACAGGGCAGATTAGCGTTAGAGCGCAATTTAAAAACAGCGCGGATGGAGGTGGAAAGTTCTGTGCGTGATCTACTGACGACACGCAAATTAAAGAACACAGATGCCGCTGGATAATTTCCATTCTGCAATGACCAACACAAGGGCAGCGCAAATTAGCGTCTGGCTTTTTGAGCCGTAAATAATGGTTGAAATACCAGTAAATTGACTCACGCAAACTTAATTAATCACCTTGCATAATTCTTTTAAATACATTCATCCCACAAATTTTGCATCTTAAAGGGAAACTCCTACAAATGCATATGCAATAAGATCAGCTGCAAAAAATAACTGTGTACACACCTTTTCTGCACAAATTTTTCACTGCATGTCTTTAGTAAATCCTGTCAGTAGTTTTTTATTGCAAAAAAGGGTTTGGGTTGGCACAAGCAGTTAGTAAATCTGGCTTTATGTCTCTCACACACAATCAATCATAATCAATCGAACTGTGTTTCTTGAGATGTGATTCGCCATGCAAGGTCAGTCTGACCCTGCAACAGCTGGATCTTTAAACGCTAACAGCAAAGAAGAGCCTGAAAGCCAAAGCTCAGGAATGCACTCCTATGTGCCTGGCACTACGAACAACCCATGCACTCCATGATCAGATTGTATATGGATTCCAAACTTTAGATTGTTTCCATTCCATTGATGGCGAACAATGATCCATAGATAAGAAATGAATATTAACATAGCCAAAGATTGCTGTGATAAATTGGGTCTGTGAGGTGTGATCGCAAATTGATTATGTATGCATGTTCGATGTGCTCTATTTTTTTTTTATCTGTTTCTTGTTCGTTTTCTCACATGCTCTGTCTCTTACACTCTCGTTCTCACCCTCCCTCCCCCACTTCATGATTGATGGCATTGCAGCTTTTATCTCAGGTAAGCCTGTGCTGTTACTTATCTAGCCCGACTGTCACTGGACAAGAAAGGTGTTTGCTTGCACCACTCAGACAGCAGATTGGCTGGTCCAGAGCCAGTTGGGATAAACCCCCAGGTGGCGGGACAGTGGCCAACGTAGCTGTGCTGAAGTGTGGATGGTACATGCAAAACTACATTTCCACATTGTATGAAGAAACTGAGTGGTGCAAAAAAACATGCCACCAAAATGCTGGAATGTTGTGGCTGGTTGCCAGGGTGTTGCTAAGTGGTTGCTTTAAAAGATTCCACCTCCAATCTATAAGTTATCTCACTATCTAAACAATCACACTGTATAACCACGTGTTAGCTAGAGACTGGCGTGATGGAAAAGCACATTAGTGGTAGATTTCACCAAATATGTTTACCTACTGGAAAAGAATATGTCTATCATTATATAGTGATATTCTCCATATCACAGTCTCTGGTGTTCATTACTGAATATTTAACCAAAACTTAACACTTTAAGCAAACAGTAGAGGCCTGGTTCTCCTTTTACGCATTAAACAGGCATTCGAATGACACTACAGCATTACAAACCCTCCTTCCATCCAAGGGACACAATTATCCCATGTTTTTTCTATCGACCCACAAATGAGAACAGCCGACTCTTATTTTCCCAGCTGTGCAGCAGTCCAGATGAGAGCATATTTTCTTCTTTGGCTTTTTGAGAATGGTACCCCTGAGTTGCAGGGAGCGTGTCCAGCTCCATTTGCAGAGTTCTTTGAAGACCGTAGCAAGAACAATTACAGAGTCATGGCACCAGCCTCAATCTGTGAGCGTGTACTCACGCTAACCCTGCACAATCACTCCAGAAAAGCCCCAAAACATTAGGCAAAGTAAGGAAATAAAAAGACTATTAATTTTCCTTTACCCTTCGAAAACCATCTACTACCAACTATGTGGGGCAATATGACAGTAAAACAGAACTTGGAATTTGATTTTTTGATTCTAAGACACACCATTTATTTGAAACATAATGTAAAGTTTGCAAAAAGCATGGTTGAAAATCAAATATTTTCCAGGTAGAAAATAGACAGTCATATTTCAAAATGAGTGACATGTATATAAAGGAACTAAAAAGAAAAATAGATATTTTTTTTACAATGTTTATATAACATAAATACAGAAAAATGTTATTAAATAGTATTTTTTTAAATATACGTCCATATTTGTATGGAATTGTAAATGTACAAAGATACAAATTATATTCAAAATACTATTACATAAATATATTTTACAATATATTTTCAAAGAAATAAGAAGTTTCAAAGTCATATGGTATCAAGCAATGAATCATAAGGAATCTAATTTGCCCTGTTCCTCTGAGATAAAAGAGTTTGATGTACTATGAAAACATACTGTAATTTCAGAACTCAAACCTCCTCAGACCACAGATGCTAGGCTGCAAAAAACAGCTTGTTCTGACTTTCTGACCTTTCAGTCTGAGCATTAAATTTCGCCATGTGAACCTGTCACAAAATGATGCATAATTAAAAAAAATATATATGAAGAGTTCAGATGCAAAAGCCTCTAAGTGCCATTTGAAATTTTCTTCTAAAATGATCATTTTTATCAAGCTTATATATTTAAGTTCAGTAATTTCACTTAAATGACAATGAAGATTACCTATGAATTGCCATTTAAGTGAAATTACTGAACTTAAATATACAAGCTTGATAAAAATGATCATTCTAGAAGAAAATTTAAAATGGCACTTAGAGGCTTTTGCATCTGAACTCTTCATATTTAGGATAGACAGTTAAAAACAATATTGGACGATATAAAACAGCGTTCACAAAGATTTTTAAAGGCAACAAAGTTCTACGGATCAGAGACAGGGTGGAAAATGGTCATAAATAACTATGTTCTGGCACACACACACACACACATATATATATATATATATAAATTATGAAATTAATTAATTTAATTTCTATTGCTGTTAACTGCTTTGACTTTTAGTGGCCATGTATTTGGTGTGCTGTGGAATTATTTAAACCCCTTCCACCGGCTTCTCATCTTTCTCTCTCTCTCTCTCTCTCTCTCTCTCTCTCTCTCTCTCTCTCTCTCTCTCTCTCTCTCTCTCTCTCTCTCTCTCTCTCTCTCTCCCTTCCTCCCTCTGTGCCTCAGCATTCCAATCATAGTGATGAGAGAGCTAGCCTCATACACCTCTCTCTCTCTCTTCCTCTCTCTCCCGCACTGCAGACTTCTATGAGACTTTGTCCAAATGAAAATGTATTGTTGCTTTCTCAATCGTGTTTTTGTTTATTATGTCTCACGTTCCTTTTACTTTACTGCAGTCTTTAGGTCTTTGCTATAGCTCTCATAATTACTGCCGTCACTCTGCAAACACTTAAAGCCAGCATTTTCTTTTAGCGCTAATTTGTCACGCCCTGAAACTGTCTCTTATGAACAGCCATATCTGCATGCGAACTTCTATTAAAAAAGCACCGTGAATACTGGTAAAAAATATGACAACGTCAAAACAATGATCAAAGTGCAAACTCGAACAAAGAAAGAGGGTATAGGAAGCCACAGATTTTTCATTTACTTTTTTCTACTTCAAATAATTGGCCACTGTAACAAATATTATTGCCGAGGTTGTGCGGAGGTTGTTTCCCAGCACAGCATTTCACTTCCTGAATCCAGCGCTTCTGGATTATGGAAGAATGCAACTTGAACACTGTGCCATTTCTGCACTGTACTTATTTACTAGTATTAATGTCAGTGTGTCAGTATGTCAGTGTGTCAGCCAATGCAAAGCTACCAGCATGTTTCAGACAAGAGCAAAGAAACATCTTACAGTCATTTATGTTTTATTTATTGAGAAAGTGAAGTTAAAAATACACTCTGAGGATAAAAAGAGAAGAAAAAAAAGCTTGTGGGAAAGGGAGATCAGATGAGGTGCAGTCTGTGGTTGACCAGAAGGGGGCCTCGGCTCCATGCTGTGTCGTCCACAGTCTCCTCCCCCAGAGTGTGGGTGTAAGAGCAAGTCTTCCCCTTCTACACTACTGAAGCCGTGCAGTGGGCGGCAGTTCTCCCATGAGGACAGACAGAGATAGGCTGGTTAAGACACTCCCCTGGCTGGGAGTGGTTGGTTGCAGCCAGCCCTTAGCCCAACCCACCAGGCTGTGGAGGAGGAGGAACACGGCAGTGCCCGAGCTGATCCCTTCAATCTTCCCCACAGTGTGGAGCAGCCGGCAGCGCGCACACACACTCACACACTCTCACACAGCCACACACACTCACACTCACTCTCGCACACACACTCTCGCGCGCGCAACAAAGCAGGCAGACGAGGGAGGCGTGTAATAAAGAAAAGAACATCACAGAGGACAAACAGTGTTGCTGCACTTGGAGTTTTTGGATACTGCAAGCCTGTCTGGAGTTTGTGCCGATTCCTGTGTGCCTCGTAACCTCACGGTTCTCACGTCTGGTCCTTTCCCGCGGAGGGTTTGAGTCCCGTCAGCTGTGCGCGCAGAGATCCGAATCCAGCGACTGTCTACATTGGCGCTTTGTGCATCCGCCAGACGGGAACAAAGTGTGCGACTGGGATATCTGACAAGCTCCTCTGGGAACCGACGCTGCACTGACTGTCAGAGAGAGAGAGTGTGAGTGAGATAGATAGAAAGAGGGCAGTCAAGGCATGAGCAGGAGACTAAAAGCCGGTTTTCCAGAGAAGTGATCGCCACAGTGCCCCCTCCTCTTCCCTCACCACCTCCTTTCCTTTTCTCCTCTCTCCTGTGCCGCTGCTCTCTTTCTACGCGCACACCTCCTCTGCTATCCCATCCTCGTACCTCCGCTGTCCTCCCATCACCTCCTCCTCCCCTGCTCCCGAAGACACGCGAAGAGGAGAAGCACGGGCGCATCATCTCATTCTCTCTCTTCATCCTTCCTCTGACTCCGTTGCTCACGCGGATCTAGCCTCTAGCTGCGGAACCACAAGCGGAGGCTTTTTGAGTGTTGGATCCCACACGCGAGTCTCTGTCTCCAGCCACAGCCAAAAGGATTCCAGCTACATGGGCAAACGTTTGGAACAGCAACCAATGTACCCCCAGTACACTTACTATTACCCTCACTACCTTCAGACTAAGGTAAGGCACCTTGGTTACCTGGTTTTGTGATGTTCTGATTTCATGCCTCACACACTTCCTTGCGTCCGCATCATTCTGACACACAAACCACATGACCGATACTTGACATGGGCGGCTCTCTTGAGGTGAAAGAGTGCCTATTTATCAAGAATGCATGCACACAAACTCTCGATCTACAGATTCTGTCCTCTCAGCTGCGTAGCCTGTGGTGGAGGGACTGGAATAATTGCATCCATCTCTCTAAGCCCCTACACCACCCGGACGTGGAGAATTGATTACCACAGGCTGATCGATAGCGCCGAGATGCTATCGGGGGCACTGGTGATCTTGGCCTCCCTCTGTGATTCATGAATGTTTTTATGCGCCGCGCCCCATAAGAGGCTGGCACTTGCGTTACATGTTTGAGTGAATGAAAGTGGAGAGAGAGAGAGAGGGCTATGATTGGATCAGAGTTTTAAAAAATGGCTGTTAGAACAAAGGGGACGTGAGGATGCATTTTCCTGATCAACTTGGGGTGAGTAAATTATGAAGTGCAAAAGGGAAGAAAATTTATGGAAAGTCAGTTGGAGGAGTTGCTGGCTCAACGTTGGCCAAATATGCAAGCGTTCCCAAAAGACACATGATAAACGGCAGTGGCCAAGTCGCTCCCCATCAGCAAGTGTTTATGACCTCTCTCTTTTCCTCCTTTTACTACTGTGTACACTCCAAAAATGTATTGGCCAATCTCAACCATCAAAATCTTAGAGGAGCTTGTAGAAAAACGACTTGATTGATGCCCTTCATCACTAGTCTATACATGACACTGGCAACAGGCACCGTATTACCCATCAATACACAAGCACACACACACACATTCTCCCCACTCCTTGTAGCTGCCTTCAAGGTCACGTCAAATTGGATCTTACCCACATCCGCTGTCTAATGAGTTTCTCAAGAGTGTCTCCAAGGGATGTGGGGGCTCGTCCGGAGCATCATGTCTCTGCCCTTCTCTCTTTTCACAACCAGAAGTCCTTCCAACAATAACTCACCTCGCTAAGTAGGGCCCGTCAAAGAGAACGCATGCATATTCAAAAGGTTTACAATTGCGCAAAGTATGTTGGTGATCCTTACCAAACTAGAGCACTATGGCATACACTGAAGCATCATGGGTAATGGTCTGGGAATAATTATTGATCTGTAGAATATTAAAGGAGATGGAGGAGGTTTTTTGGCACTGGGAGAGAGTTTCAGATTTCAGACATTCGGTCTCGCCTGTGAAGGATGGAGACCTCATGTGAGCACGGGTCAGTGTGAGCGTGATTGTGTGTGCGTGCGTGATTGGGGATGTAAATGGCCTGTTATTAATCTTGATTCTAGCGTGCTCTCTGAGTGGAGGCATTCCTCCGGGGGAAATCAATCATGAGGGGGAAGAGCGGCAACTGACACACAATCTAACCTCGCTCTCTCTCCCTCTCTGCCCCAATAACGCTCTGTGTGTGAAGAGAGGCAAATGTTAAGCAGGGGAAATTATGATGCTACAGTAAGCTGTTAATGTCGACGATCAGTAATTCGGTTCAATTATATAAAGACCCTGGTATCAATTACATGTAAATTGCTTACTTTCATTAAAGTAGGTTCAAAAGAAACATAAATATGGCTCCAAATTCATGTGGGTCATAGATATCACTGAACAAGAAATTTAGTGCAAACAAGATCACGCCTTTGGGCAAGATGTTGTAACACAAAGTAACAGGGAATGAATCTATCTATCTATCTATCTATCTATCTATCTATCTATCTATCTATCTATCTATCTATCTATCTATCTATCTATCTATCTATCTATCTATCTATCTATCTATCTATCTATCTATCTATCAATCTATCTATCTATCTATCTATCTATCTATCTATCTATCTATCTATCTATCTATCTATCTATCTATCTATCTATCTATCTATCTATCTATCTATCTATCTAAACATAAATGCTTTCTAAACTTACCTCAAAGGATTTGTCAAGCCAACATTTAAAGCTTTTTTAAAAAAAAAATTATTAGTCATGAGAATTTTATTAATTTGAATTCTACTTCCTAACAAATATTTATGGTCATAATTGAATGGAAATTATTCATTCCTCAATTCAAATAAAAAAAAAATAGCATGCAACCCAAATCAATGGATTCACAAATCTCACAATGTAACTCAATCTTAGAAGGAAAGGTTCTATATAGAACCTTAAAAGGCTCTAAAGCGCTATGTATTTGGAACCCCTAAAATGCAATGCATGATCCCAAAATTCAAGATATGTGGGTTAAAAAAATGTAATTACTGTAATCAATATCAGACGAAGAGTGCCATTTCAGTATTTATCCTCCAAAATCAGCATGATTAAAATGTGATATTAAGTTACTACAACAGTTTAATAAACAATAATTGAATTACACACTACAAAATGTTGCAGAATAATGTAATATATGAACGAATAATAGCCTTTGTGCCAAAAGGGTTCTTTCTTCTCATTATAGAACCATTTTTAGCATTAAATATCCTTTGGAGTGGAGTAAAGAACTCTGTGCTACATATATAGAACCCTTTTTTCTAAGAGTGTGTATTCCCCTAATGTGCATGTCAACAGTACCAACATCACACCACCCTTTCCCCTATCAGGTTTTAGGAGAACATGGGTGGGTGTATAAACGTGAGTAGTGTGTGGGCTGAGGTCTCCTTGACAGAAGCCATACACCAGTGGGATATAAAATAGAATTTAAGGGACGTAATTCCCTCCTGCATTGTGTCAACAGAGGCCAGTGGGGCCCCGTCTTCCATTCAATCAGCAGCTAGAAGTCAGAGCTTTATGGTGTGTGTGTGCGCGCATTGATGTTTCAAAAGAAGGGTAAGAGGAAGAGAGCCAGAGCGAGCACTCAAATCCAGAGCCATGAGATTGCATATGCGAGCAAGTGTGTGTGTGTGTGGTGTTCGGTTACACTCTGTGGGGTCAGCTTTATGTACAGCAGAAATAACATCCAGTCGGCCGTTTAAACCTCTCCTCTCAGTGGGAGTGCACACTAACTGGCCTGCAGTGAGGTGACATGTGGCTTGCCAGCAATGTTCCTGCTGCATTATGGGAAAGATGCATATATGTGGCTCATTATATTTCTGCTGCTCTCAATGTCATTTAGGATTATTACGTTGTGATATTTACTCCGCTTGTGGATAATTACCAGACCGATGCATCATTTTCCTCTAGCGGCACCAATTTTTTTTTTTTACCACAACGGTGAAAATGCTCTCATCTCCCCTCCTCCAAACAACCTTCATCTGAATAATTAAACTCGTTAATGGACAAGCAATTTACAGGTATCAACGACAATTTGATTTTCGGTATTCATTACCAACACTGTCATTAAACAGGTGAAAGGATAGATTAAAATCCATAAGCACACTCAGCCGTTTCACACGCAAATGACTCACTGCAACAAATTGAGTAATTTAGACCTAAAATATGCTTAACATTTCGAATAATTGTTTAAAATGCGGTTATTTGTTCCATCGGATATTGTTGGAAGACAAATCCTGACTCCAAATCACTTGCCCTGTCCTGTGTTCTCCCCTTGAGAGCACAGCAATAACATTACCTATAATAGCATTATGTGATGTTAGACTATAATACTGTTTCTAAAAATTCCACACACACACACAAAATATATATTGGGTTGTTTGTGCTGAATGTGCTCTAAAGTATTTTGGGTGTATGAGCTTTTCTTGTTGGAAGCAAGCCATAATGACATGCACGGAGACATTAACTTACAAGAGCACAGGCTTTGTATGCGTGTGTGAATTATACATGTAAACACTTCCGTCGGGAAAGAATGTTTGCTGTAAGTGTTTGCCTGTAACCATCGAGTTGAGGATTTCAGATCTGCGAGAGTGCTAAATTATGCTTGTCCATGTGTAATTTTTCTGTTAGCATCTGAATGCACATCCAAACCACAGATAGGGCCCTATGAAATCCATTTTATTTTCCCCCAATATGGTTTTTGTTTCCGCCTCCAAATTCTATTTTCATGGTTTAATTAAACTGTAATAATCAAAAAGGATGTCTAATCAATTGAATTCATAAAACATGAAAATTTATATTTAATAATTTATTGACATTTTAACAATAGTGCTTTATTTTATTTCTGAAATTTTTTACAGCAAACATTTCAAAAACGCAAACGTTTTTTTTTTTTTTTTTACTTTTTTGAAATACAAATTTATTATAAAAATTATAAAATTATAAAATGTATTGTGAACAGTGGATTCCTATTTAAAACATGCATGGACAAAAATTGTGTGATATTCCTTAAAATATAAAATCTATCCCATCCATCCATCCATCCAGATGATCATGAATATCTTTAGGAAAGCATGCATGCAGTAAATATATTTTTGGTCCATCAATGTCCTTCTCGTTTCCTCCTTTCTGTCCCCTTCCCTCCCTTTTCCTCTCTCTCCCTCTCCTACTGTGTCCTAGGCATTCTCTCCAGCCATCTGTTCAGAGGGGTGGGGTTCACTCTGAAAAGAGGAAGGAACATACTTGGCAAACATACCCATATAGGTGGATAAAATGTTATGCCCAAAACTGTCCTCGTTTCAGGGGTAAAACGCTCTACATTAGTCATGAACATGAAAGGAAAAGAATACAAAGCGCACGGAGGAGCTGTTTGTAGCAGTACTTCAATATTTTCTGGCCCGTTCTGAAAGTGAAATGTGTTCTAGATTTTCACATCTTGCATCAGAGAGTAATAACTCTGATGTGCATCCAGCCACACAAAAACAATATAAGAATGTGCAAGAAGAAACTTTTATTGTCACTCACACTGCTGAGTTAAAGTATTAGTACATTAGAATTGATAAAAACTAATAGTTCTGGCTGTAAAATCTGATCGGATGTGACATAAATATACTGCCCATATTTCGATTTCATTATATTTATCCACCAAACTATTCGAAAAAAGAAGCCTATTGCTTAAAGG